TTTTTTTTTTTTTTTTTTTTTTTTGCAACACCCCCACCAGTGTTAGTGCTGCCGATAAGAGCAGACACCACTAACTGTGGGAGAGGCTCCATCCATTGGTGGGGAGCGGCACCTGCTGGAAAAGGGGTCCAGCGTCCGATCATCCAGAAAGGAGAATGTCTGAGAAAAATGACGACAGTAACTGTGGGGCCTGCCAGCATATTGATTGCCCGGCAACCCAGGGGCTTGACTGTGGGGATTAACTGTATAACTGTGGGGATTAACTGAGCAGGCCTGTATAACTGTCTTGGAAATATGGGATGCTGTTGGATCAACTTCTATTCGCGCGCTTCTTTTTCAGGGGGGGAGGGGGGGGACGGGGGGAAGGGGGGGAGGGGGGAAGGGGAGTTCAATTTTCTTTTTCTAAACTTACTTGGAAATCTGGGTTGCCGTTGGATCATCTTCCCCGAGGATCTCCTGCAGCTGCCTGACCTTATGTTCCAGAATAGTGACCACCTCAGCGTTCATAAGGCACTTGGCTCGTTGAAACTCTGATCACAATATCATAAACAATTAAATTAAATTAAAGTAATCACTAAAATAATCATTAAATTAATCATTAAAATAATATAATAGTCAACACCTCAGCATTCATAAGGCACTTGGCTCGATGAAACTCTGATCACATTATCATAAACAATTAAATTAAAATAGTCAAATAACTATTCAAATAATAGTCACCACCTCAGCGTTCATACGGCACTTGGCTCGTTGGGAACTCTGATCACATTATCATAAACAATTAAATTAAAATATTAAAATAATTCTTAATTAAATACCTAGGTTACCAGAGTGGTCCGGCACACAAGCTGCGCCCGGCCGGGCAACCCACTGCACGGGGGGATACCTGCCCGGGGTACTCGGGCGGGTTAAAACATCAGACCTCTTTTTCCCTTTTTCTTTTTTTTTTGGGAGTGGGGGGTTACGGCGTTTTCTGCGCCCGCCTATATCTACTAAAATCTGAGGGTTATCTTTTCCCCCTAAGGTCTGCGATCTATGTGGGTGGGTGGGTGTTGACACGTCAGACATCAGGCTGATGACACATCGGACACTGCCAACCTGCTGCTTCCTGACACATGGGCGTCGAAATTACGACCATTACGACGATCAATGGCTTGAATCCGGATAAGGGGCTCAAAGAACTACTTACTAAATGCTTCTAACATCGGTATTCTCTCTCTCTCTCTCTCTCTCTCTCTCTCTCTCTCTCTCTCTCTCTCTCTCTCTCTCTCTCTCTC